ACAATCATATTTAAAATATAATAACAAAAATACAATCATAAAATACAACAAAATTATAAACAATTGACTGGCTTATTACCACACATAATATACTCATAATTATTCATAATTTTCTCAATAATTGCTTTGAATAACAAATTCAAATAATAATAAAACATATCATCGATGGGACGGTGGGTCAGGAGATAGGGTATGGCGTACTCGTTGGGTAAAAATAAGGGGACAGTTAGCAGTGGTGTAGTGTCGGTGTGTGTGGTGTTGGCTGTGGTTATAGTCTGCGATAAGTACCCAAATGTGTCTTACAGTTAGGGCACCGGTGCTCAATGTCCTGGCACTCCGGTATACAGCACGGGATTAGGCAACAGCCCAGCCAGCACCTGGAGGTAAAACATATTAATATATATTATTATATTACATTATATATTATATTTATTACAAAATTGTTTATAGTATTAATATAATGCTATTTAAATAGTAATAAATATAATGTATAGTCATTATAATAATTAGGAAATTATTATAATAAGATTATTAATTGTGTATTTATTGTAAACAAGGTTGATTGTAAAATTATAGGTGACAGGCAGTTATTTAACAAAATATAAAAAGGATTATAAGTTAGAAAATATTTTTTATACATTCTTGGTAATTTAGTAATAATTATTGCAAGTTTCAAGTGAAATTAATTAGCTTTCATAAAAATTAATTAAAATTTTAATTTAAATGTAAATAATTATAATTACTGAATGTCTCCCTTATCAAATAATAATATTAGTTAATATTTAATTAATCAGCATTATTTACAAAACAACCTAGATATTATCCTGGGTATTACAAAAGCACTTGTGTATCAAGGGTTAGCTCGTGATAATCAGTCATTAATATAATGTTTTAATCAATTACTAAATACAATAAGTCTTAACTATAGTAAATAATAAATAATATTTCTAGGACATAACTTATGATAACAAAAATATAACGTTTATTACACATTAAGACTATAGTGTATAATAAATGTATAAAAATGTAACTTTATTAGTATTATTATTATTAAATAATAGTATCAAGTAATTAAATATTTATTTCCTTATGGTTTTTGTCTGTTATTTTAATTATAAATGTCTATTGTTTTCAAAAGTAAATAATAAAAACTTATGAAATACACAGTATTAACAAAACTGTAATTATATAAATTTAATTCAATTAGTACTTATGTTTACTAATGTATAGCAAAACTGGAGTGATAATCAGGGAGTTTGCATGCTAAAAATATTTTGAATTTAAATATAAATATAACTATATAAAATTTAAATAAATAGTTATTAACTTTTAATTATAGTAATATATTATTTTTTGAATATTTTGATTTTAACTTTATAAAACTATTAAACATGAAAATCTGTAATTAATTTAATTGGATTAATAAAATCTCAACCTGTAGCATTATACAAATTATACTGAATTAACTAATCACTTTAAATATCTATTAGATAAAATCTTACAATGCAAGACTTACATAATTAATGATTAGTTAAAAACTTGCAATAAATTAAGCATAAAATTATAAATGTTATATATTTTGGCTTAAAGTCTACGCATAATATGGAGACACCGGGGACTCACCCGACGAGAAATAGTGTGCCCGACAATAGCCAAGTGAGTAGTCCGGGCGAGGCTACCGTCTCAGTCATCACTTGTGCGCTACAGTGACTACACGTCACTTGCATGGGATAGGGACCGAAGCCCTGTACGTTCACTATGACCGCCGCCGCCACTAAACACAACAATATTCATGATTAACGAAACAAATCTTTAAAATCGGGAAAAATTTTAATAATTTTTCAAATTATAGTTCAAATGTAAAGTAAAACGGAAAAAACTTTGCGGACAGTTATGCGACCGCATACATGTCGTGCCATTGTTGTAATATTTAGTCTAATGAGGGTTGTTTAGTGGGTAGGTATGTGTTAATCATGTAAATGGGTGTTTCACAAAATTAGTTTCAAAAATTTTATAACAAACAATAAATCAAAAATTAAAATCAATGCAAAAAACTTTTGGTTAGTTTTCAAACAAATAACTGAAAGCAGGAAACAATTGAAATACTGGTGCGGAAAGGGATGTAGAAAAATAGGTTCAGACATAATGTGTGTTTGGATAGGTATGTATGGGTGGAAAGGTAGATAATATTAGTCACGGATATTGTGAGGTACGGCCAGACCTGGACCACTGCCGGGTGGGGCGCCGATCACGACTGACGGCCCGATGGGGTATCCACTTTGATAGCCTGTATATAAATAGTAAGGGGAACGGTATGTATAGATGGGAAAGGGATGTTTAGAAATGTAAGATAAGTCGGGAGGGAAGTGGGCAGTTGTCTGATGACTCGTAATATGATATGTATTTAGCAAATAATAATCAGTCGACTCTTACTCTGGATATTGAATCACAAGAAATAGTTTTTTATTTGTTTTTTTGATAAGTCGGGAGGGAAGTGGGCAGTTGTCTGATGACTCGTAATATGATATGTATTTAGCAAATAATAATCAGTCGACTCTTACTCTGGATATTGAATCACAAGAAATAGTTTTTTATTTGTTTTTTCTGAACCAAAAAACTTATTCACAAATAATAGACAAATATTTTTGAATAGATTTTTGTTTTTTACATCAAATTTGTTAAGAAATGAAGTTTTTTTTGATAAGTCGCGAGTGGGCTGTATGTATGTATGTATGTCTGTCAAACACAATCGTAACTAACGGTGCGCACCGAAAGCACGACAAGCCGTACGACACTGTGGACAGACATCTCTAATCTCTAAGTTTTTTCTCTCTCACTTATCGACACAAATATAAAAAGAAAATCTATTTTTTGATTTGATTTTTCCGATTCACAGACTCGTATGAATCGATCGATTGGTTCACTATTTTTTCGCATATATTTTACTCAAAGAAAAATCTGGATTTCACTCAATCATCACATCATGAGAGCACCGGTATGCGAGTCTATGTAAGGCCTAAATAATATATATCTCTGGAAGATATGGGGGATGGGATATATCGGGTGCTAATGATTGAGCAAAAATCAAAGACAATAATACAATGAAATATATGACAAACAAACTAATTGCTAGCAAAGAGTTAGTGTTTGCTATGCAATAAATTGTGCTAATATTTGCCATAAACTATGCTATGTTTATAATAAATCATACAAATCACTGTCTGTATTGTGTACACCGTATAATTAAATTGTGCAATATTAATTTACTTGCTAACTTTCACTTAACATACAATTAGTCGACTATACAGAATATTCTATAATTATTTTATTATGCTAGTTCAAATGATAGTAGTAGTGCCTAATATGGGGGTACATTATTTAATAGCCATAATAATAGGGCAATTAAATGTATTAATAAATCGTACTG